TAGAAATGTTATAATAACAACAACAACAACAAAACAACAACATTTCAGGACATCGCTAGTCTGGCTGTCAAAACATACTCTAATCTTATAGATATGATTTATGTAGAAATCAGTAACACTGTGACAAACAGTAACACTGCACAAGCAGATATCTGCTCATGCAATGGGCCTTTCTCTCACTTTCCTCCCCGATGCAGCCTCTCTCCTAAATCTGCCCTGGAAGTTCCCTAACTGTCCAGAATGGATATTGAGTATGCTGGGGGCTGGAGGGGAACTGCCCCTTCCCCTACTGCACTGTTGAAAGTTATTCTGTTGGTAGGCAGGGTTAGCTGGATAAAACATTACGGATTTTGTTTGGCCTTACAATATGCCAGTACATAGATGGGTAGTTGTTGTTATACTTTTGCATATGGAAACCAGGTTGAGAAAGATATACTCCAAACCAATCAATGATCTGTGGTAGAACAGGGCTGAAGTCTAGCAGCATCCACTGACGCTCCCCCTGAAAGCAAAATATACTCTTAAAATATCTATCTCTTCCTTTGTACTTAAAGCAGAAACAGGCTACATAAAGCAATGTGCCTTGCAAGGCTTACCAATGTCTGTAAATGGGCCTAAATGATGTTTGTGTTGGGATCCAACATTAGACTTGGTTCAAAGAAACTGTGCTAGGACGGAGCTTTCTTTGAAAATTCCATCAGCCACTGGCAAATAGTTTTTTACCTATTTGAATTTTGTGGCCCTGTGAAATTACACTTGTAACAAGATTTCTGCTAATAAAAGTGTTGCCTCTCTAAGAACCATCACAAATAAGGACTATTCGTTTAGATAGAAATACTGTCACATACTATGAGTGCATGTGGCAGTTGCAAAATATCTAGCTACTGTTGGTGGAGTTGCTGTGATCCTGCCCTGTTCATACATTCTAATTACTGAGAGTGAAGCTGTCCACAAGAGTACCTTCAAAAACCGATTATCTTTTGTGAGAGACTGGTTTGGCTGATCTTCCACAAAAGGCCTTAGAGACAAGAGGCAAAGTCATGGAAATGAATGTGGAGGAGTCCCAGGAGGTGTGGAAACCAAGAAACAGGACGTCCAAACAAGACTAGTATGTGAAGTGCATTCATTTTGCAACAAATGGAGTTCCCAACTGCCAAATTGTCTTTACTCATTTCTCTCCATTCTCCCCTACAACCAAATTAAGTCAGGTGGGGGTGGGGGAAACGGAGCAGGCAGAGTGATCAGCATTTAATTACAACTTTTTTTGGGTCAGGCTTTGGACACTCATTCCTGGTCACAAACTCCAAACCTTCAAGGAGGCATTTAAAATTCTAGGGAACCTAATGACACTTAGGAGAGAGCTGTGTGACCTTAGACCTAATGCAATCAAGATCTTTGGAAGATTTAATCCAGTCTAAAATAGAAGCTACATTAGGATAGAGATTTTGTTAGCAAAGCTGTATTTGCTTTCATTGACATCTACAGCTTATGGCAAAATGTTTTGAGCCCAGAAACAAAATAAAGCCCAGAAATGCCTCAGGTGCTTTGTGCAAATTATTAAATTATCATAGACACCTGAGACTTTTTTGTCTCAGGTATCTCACCACAAGCTCTGGGGCTTTGCAGCCTCTTTCTCCAAGACATGGAGCTCACTTGTCCCCAGAACCTCAAAATCCCCTTAAGGTGTTTTAAGTTTGCTTTCTGTGAGCAGCTATTGGTGGTTCAGGACTTGGACTAAAACTAAATGTTATTTTTGATCTATAAACATCGCCTAACTACTAAGTGTCTTCTAGAATTGTCTCTAAAATGGGGACCTTTTCTCCTATTTGTCTTATATTTGGCAGGTCTGATCCCTTGGAGGGATAGCAGAATGTCTGAAAACTTTCAAGCCAACTGGATGAAGTGATAGTTCCAGGCAGCAGAAAAGCAGCTTTGTCTCCCATTAAAAGCAAAGGGAAACGAGGGAATGACTGTAACAGATTAAAAAAACAGCAATTATCAACAAAACAACTATGACTTTAACAAATGATTTTGTTGGGGGGAAAAGGCAAAAATGGATGGAATGATGGAACAACTTTTTTTCTTGCATGCTTCTCATACCAAGAAGGAGAAAGAAAAGGTAAGTAGAAGAAAAAAAATAAACCTAATAATGAAGAGTATAACAGACAAGGGGTTTGAGGAAATGAGAAGCAATGAGAATTTTTAAAAAGCCAATAGGAATAAAGGATGGGGAAATATGAATATTGTTGGCAAGAAAGGCAAAAATATGTGGTGGAAAAGGAGGCTGTTTGTGCATTAGGAGCAGGAGAGAGTAGACACTGGGCTAAAATGAGTAGAAAGGGCATGACACTGAAGAAAGGAGTCATCAAGAGGAGAGTGGCACTAGGGAAACATACAGGCTAGGCATAGGAAGGGCTGTGAGCTGTTGGCAGGCAGGGAAAGAAAGAAAGAAAAGGAAGCTTTGGAAACTGGCAGGTTGTGGAGATACAAGGGGACTCACAGTAAGAATTGGTGGATGCATCTTCTGTGGACAGGCATGGTGCTTCTTAGTGCATTTACTCCTATCACTCCCTCAAGAATATAAACTTGGGGAGGGGCTGCATTGATGTAATCATACCTCAACTTTACTCCTTTAGAGTAAGTTTTTTAAATGTTCAGAATCTGAATTTAAATGAACTTGCCAGTAGAAGACATTTGCCCCCAAAACCAACACAGAATGAAGGATTAACAGCAAGCACCAATTTTTAAAGTGTCTCAAACACTTACCTGCAATAAATCATGCATACTTTTAATTTGCTGCACGACTAGTCAGTGTCTGCGTGAGTGTTCACACGGATTCCTTTGCATTGAATAGGAATCTCGTTAGACGTTCTCCCCCCCCCCACCCCGCAGTATGTGAAACGTTTTAAAGTCCTCCATTCTCTCCAGCTGCCCCCTCCCCCAGCCAATCCACAAGAGAATTAGCAACATTCCAGCATGCCTGGCAAGTGCTCTTTTCAGCCCAGGTACCTGATGATGATTGATGAAGCTGTCAGCCCTACGGTAGTGGACAGAGTCACTTGGCAGACGTTCAGTGTTATTGAAAGAAATCACAAATACTTATTCCATCTCCTCTGCTCACTTTAATCACATTATCAACAGGCTGCCAGGATGGAGCCTTGACATTTGCACAGACAACCATTGTTGGCCTATTGCACTTGCAACACAGATAATGAGTAATTTTGTTTTACATGTTCCTACTTTACACGGTGCCTAGCTGTTAAAATAACACTTGATTTTCCGGTCCCTGACTTAGCCTACCTCAGCTTTCATCCTGTTATTAACATTCTTAAAAAGAGAGAGAGAGAGAGAGGTTGGGTTACAAAGGGCTAATCAAGGTGCTTTTCCTCCGTTATGCTAATATTTAATGCAGACTGATCCCAGTGATGATAGGAATTGGTCATGCTCCATAATACCATGATATAAGAAGTTCTAAACCAAGAGTTGTTCATGTGCTGCACTTACAAATACTAGAAGTAATGCCCCATAGAACATTACATACTATCATGGGCTTTGGGTAATAGAACCTTACAAGGTTCAATATTCCTGAACCATCAGCTGGACAAATACAGGCAGAAGAAAAGCCGTTGCCATTCTTTCTCATTTCCTCTTATTTAATCTACAAGTATTTTTTTTTCTAGAGAACTTCCAGTTGTCTTTGACCTTACTAGCATAAAAAAACAAACACAGACCTTAGACCATTGTATGTCCATGGGCTTTTGGCTTTGGGGGATTTTTACAGCTCAATTTTCACAATCAACATTGTCCTTTATGAAGTGAGACAATGTAAGTAATTCTGTAAACAGTTAAAATCATTTCTCTAGCCAGTTCAGCCCCTCTCCAATAGTTTCTTCTCTCTGGGAAAGAGAAACATGGAAGTGTATTCAGATGGCCAGCATAAAAAATAAGATGAATTTATAAGATAGATAATTATGAGTAAATGCAGTGGAATTAGTCTAGCCTGGTGAGCAAAAATACTGTTGCTGGTCCCATATAAAAAAAGTAACACTGAACATAATTATTAAGTACTAGAGACCGATTCCAGTTGTTACCAGGATGTTGTTGCTGTTATTTTTACATATTGATATTCCTGTTGATAAATCCCGATACTATGGTGGCAGGCCTAAATTAGAAAGTGTTGGAGTAAGTTGGGAAGTAATACTGCAAAGGCAGAACAATCTCACTGTAAGAGTTCCTTAAAGAGTATGTTTAGCCAGGTCCTCTTCCATTGTAGCATACTGTTCCTTAAGACGCTTGATAGCTTTTGTGTGTTCTTCATCCACAATGGCTTTTAGGTTGTGCTGCTCCTTCACAAATTCCTCCCACTGTGTTAGACGTTGTGTTTCAGCAGTCATTAGCTTCTCAGTCTGAAGCTAAGAAAAAAAGGAAAGTTATAAATGCTGCTTCTAGAAGATGATAGGTAGTTTATAATGCAGGCCTTGTGGCTCTGTAAGCAGAATAAGAAAGGAAGCCAGCTTTCAATGCAGCAGAGGTCCTTAGACTTAATCATAACAGGATCCTCTAAATGAGAAAATAATCCAATGATGGTTTTGCCCCAGACCATCCATAGCACTTTCATTCTGCTTTAACCCCCAACTGCTATTCACAGCCAAAGGTGTAGTGGAGGGGAAACTTGGAGGGTTGGAGCACCCCCACTTATTTTGGAGGGGGTCCGCAGGGAGAGTATTGGATCCCTGAAGCCAGGGTCACTTCCCTCTCCCACTGCCTCTCAAGAGACTTAATTTTGCTGGTTTTGCTGGCAGCTGTCACTGTCTCCAAGTCCTGAATTTAATGGGTGAAGAAGGTTGGAATCAGTGCAGCGAAGGGCCACTAGGATGGTGGCTAATTTGCAGGGTAAGCCATATGAAGAGATTGAGGGAGCTGGGTCTTTTCAGCCTTGAGAGGAGGAGACTCAGAGGGGACCTGTTAGCGACATACAAGGAGGGGCAGAGGTTAAGAAAAGCTCAGGCTAAATCATATCATGGCCTCTCTAATCAATTCCATTCCCCACCCACCGGAATGTCCTCTTTCCCCCCCACTACAAGGCCAATTTTCTGACCTTGCAGACACACCTGACAGTTCTTTCTGCACCAGCCCTAAGTAGGCAAGGAGTAGATTTCAGCATCTCTGACAAAGGGCAGGAGCAGTGACATCAGTAAATCAAGACTATCCTAGAAACCATAGGGTGACTCTCCCAATGCCTTTCTGCCATGAATATGGGGTATTCTTGTAAATTCTGTAATGTTCTGTTTTGTGTGGAAATTACACTGGATTCTCTTGCAAAAATAAGTAAGTGAACAATGGAACCAGAATCTTGGTGTTTACTCATATATTGGTTACTCGATATTAAACAACCACCACCACCAATCTAGAAAGAGACAGAGTAAGTGCTTGGCTTCACTCTGGACTAGCAACAGTCAGTATTTGACTTGAAAACTTAAGAAGTGTCTTCAGTATTTAATAGCATCTCTTATTAATAATACTATATATTTAACTTCGGCAAAATATATGTAATGTAGCACCACAACCACTACTCCTGATTTTGATATGTGCATGTAATTTATTTCTCTTTTATAAATTATCCTGGACCACAAGAACCTTGTATGTAGCATTTGCCATTCTCCATCTTGGATATATACATTCTTGAAACATGCAGTATAGCAAGGAAACAGGACAGTCTTGTTCATGAAAGAAAGAAGCTGCCCAATGACGCACATAAAGTAAAGAAAGCCATCAATTAAAAAAATAATTTTTGGCTTTCCCAGGGTGGTGCAGAGGTTGGAAAGGAAATTTGCTGAGTAAACTTAATCTGACTCTAAATAATTCTGTTAACAGTCCTTTCCAATTAAGCCATAAAGCAGCACAAGATGAGACTAGCATGGTAAACAGAAGACAAGGCAGTTTTATGGTTTGTGGCATGTGCTCAACATATATTTACTCCAGCCAATACCAAAACTTTCCTATTGCTCCCTAGCTGAAGAACATATCATTTCTGTGAACATTATAAAATTTATCAGGACAGTTTACACTCTTCACACAACAACAGTCATAATAAAGCAAATGCATATATAAATAAAACGTTTCCCCATGTAAGGATGGATAGTACTGTGGAACTTGGAGTCGCACCAAGAATATCTCCCTTGAAAAGACTAATCAAGACATACTTGTGGACAGGTAACTGATTCTCTCCTGAGCAGATTAGTACACTTTGCCTTCCCCTGCAGCTTGTAGCCTGGTCAATTTACAGGGAATGCCACAGACCCGCTTCTGCAGTGCACCCTCAATGCACCTTGAGAACACTGTGATTTGGTCTGCACAAATCAATCTCAACACAGTGAATTGCCCTACAGATTAATAGGTATTTGAAACTGGATGGGCCCTTGGTCACTTTTAACTACGATGCAAAGAGCTAAGGAACGTGCTGTTGGCAATACTTTGTAATGCACTTTCAGTTAAGGGCTGAAGGTGGCCAACATTAGGGCCTGGACTGATAAATATTGGTGCCATAATAGAAATAATAAGTGCAGGGTGTCTTATTGGGTATCTATGCATGCAACAACTCCATGCTTCATATTTCTCACATCTTAAACTCCGTTAACTAGCCTGACTGACTGTCATTCCCATTAAAGAGCCAACAATCTGTTTTCTGCGCCAGCTGAACTTTCCAAATGGGCTTTAACAGTTACCCTAACTCTATCAAGTACTGCAGTATTCCAAGGTGAAGAAAGATGATTTCATCTTATGGTTCTAACGTCTAAATCAAAAAAACTCTTTCTATACATCAGGATAAACCAGCATGAAAATCAAAGTAATTGAGGATCTGGCTAGTTCTTTCAAATCAATGGATGCAGTTTAGCATTCCTCAAATGCTGCAACTGCCAGTCATCTGTGCCTCTGTGTCCAGTTTTCCGTAAATTCCTTCCATTTTCTCTTCTTCTCCCTTCCTTCTAGACTTCCCACAATTTGGGTTTTTCTTTCTTTCTGAAAAGCTGGCTTCTCAATTCTTTTAGTGAATTACAGAACCCATGTGATCTAACTCTCATAGCAAATTTGACATAATGGCTGTATTCATACGTTACAATAAAACCATGGATTTTTGTGAGAAGAATGTACTTAGATGAACTTTGGGTTTCTGTGCTTTCTCCAGTGGTATGCCTGTGAGAAGATATGAAGCTTTCACTTTCATTCTTGATTAATTACCATGTAACCTGACAAAGTGCAGTTAAGATTACGTTGAACAAAGCTCACTAAAAGAAGCCAGCTTTATAAGCCATGCTTTGAACTGGGCTTGTATAAAAACAGAATTATATTTAGCCAGATTAATTAAGATTAGCCAGATTCTGTTGGTCCAGGTGCAATTTTAAATTGCAGTTAATAGAAAAAAGCTTATGATGGTCTCCTTGTAGCCACACTGATAAGAGACAATGGGGAGGTGCATAAGCCTGAGGCATGCCAAGGGCTCACAGTTTAGCACAGCCATTGCTTACGTGATAGATAATGTTTGTTACTGCATACATTGAGCTTGCAGATACCTTCCTTAAGTTAATATCCATTTTACATGTTTTTGTTCACAGATCTTGTATTACAAATATATTCAGGTGAACATATTTTAAGATAAAATTCTATGCTCTTTAGGGGGCATGCTATCCTCTTTTATTATGACATACTGCAGATGTAAAGTCCCATGTAAGATGTAAAGAGACTAGGAATGACTTGTGGACTTGTAGTATCTAGCCATCCTAATTTATTCCTGGCCCTTGAATGTGTGAATCTCCTTTCCTCTCAGCGCTTCCTTACTACTGTACAATGTTACATCTGCAGCAGTATTAACATTAATTTTGGTTAGGCTGAAATTAGAAGTTGCCCCCAGAATTTGAAGAGGCTTTTCAGACTCTGGTAAATGTAACCATGCTTAGTGTTCTCACAGGCAATTATTTTAACACTGCCTGTGTGTTTAGCTCCAAGAAGAGAAGGAAGAAATTAATGCCTGAAAATGGAGGGGTGGGGGAGATTTGCACTCCCAATTTGTTAGACCTAAATCTAGGGAATTACGAACGTTAAGTGTGTCTGATGGTATTTTTGCTGTTATCCATTTCTGAGATATCTCAGATGTGGTATGTTCAATAAGGTATGTTCAATATAGCTGCAGCCTACCTAGAACACATCTCTTTTGCAGCTGAAAAAGCTGAACAGGTTGCCTATTTGCAATAGTGAAGTACAGAGGTAACATGGAATATTAACTTCTTGCACAGTTTTTTTTTCTAATCCTGAGGTTTTAGAATATGTGCATTACAAACAAGCAATGTGCAGCCATGTGAGAGATTCCAGTGAGTCACATGTTCTTATAATATGGCCTTTCATTAAATAACATCCACAAGTATGAAACACTTCCATTTCAATAAGCTGTATTCATAATATGTTCAGTGTTTTCAACTGACCAGGAAAGATTTACATTTCCATTCTGTTGGGTATTTTTTCTTCCACACAAAATAGGGATTTCGGTTTCTTTAACCATCACTTTCCTTTTTTCTCTAGCTGTGAAGGAAAGTCTAAGAAACATTTTCCACACACAGAAAAAGTGTAAGAGGATCTAGTAATTCCGTAAGTATTACAGCAATTCTGATGAAAGTCTAGCTAATGGCAGCTTTATTTAGCTCTTTTCTACATTTGTTGCAACTGTGTGAAAGGAAAATGTACTTTTTGCTGTACTGGAGTATCATGAATAATGTGCGCATTTGTTACAGAACAGTTACTGAATCTCAGAGCTCATCCACATTGCCACACTACAATTTCAATCTGAAGGGAAATGAATGTCCATTTTGTTTTCAAGGTCTATATAATGCAAAACTATTCACTGGTATTTACCTTTGGGTAGCTACATTTAAAGCCATGTCAGATAAAAAAGTGTCCAAATCAATATGTTGCTTCATGTGACAGATTTTCAATGTATATCTGGACAGAAACCTCACATTAGTCCCAAGGCATCAGCCCTTCCTCTCACAGGCCACAGACTGAAGTATCCTTTGATAGGTGTGGAACTGCTTTCATCTTAGTTTATATGGGGTGGTGAGCACATGTTTCTAATGTAATTTAAAGATTCAAAAGCAGAACTCTTGCAAGATGTAAACTACAAGATGTAAACTACAACAAACACCGAATCTCATCTAGCACAGTAACAGACAGGGCAAATTCAAAGCCACACAGTCTTTTGGTGGAAGGCAAGAAAATGATTTCGCCAGAATGGTTCTACTCTGTGCAACATATTAGCTAGTTTCTAATTATATTTTCCTGCCAACCTTACAGTTCGAAAGCATGCAAATGCAAGTAGATAAAAAGGTACCACTTCGGTGGGCAGGTAACAGCGTTCCGTGCACTTCAGTGTTTAGTCATGCCGGCCACATGACCACGGAGACTGTCTGGGGACAAACGCTGGCTCCCCCGGCTAGGAAACGGAGATGAGCACCGTCCCCTAGAGTCAGGCATGACTGGACTTAATGTTGAGGGGAAACCTTTACCTTTACTTAATTATAGTTTATCAATTTTTACCTGTCTTTCTTCCTGCTCCCTCTGCTGGAGTCTGCTGATCATTTCATTGGCTACCTGTACTGAAATATATTGGTTACTAAGTTTCATTGACCATTGTCATTCTAACGGACAAGTTTTTGACAGCAGCAACCACACTTAGTTATATTCAGACCAAGTTATTCCCAATGAAATCAACAGGAGAAGTCAATTATGTTTACTTCAATTCCCATTGCTTTCAGAGGGGCTAAAGTATGACTAATGTAGCCCAACATGTAAGATCTTGCTGCCCAAAGATACTTGATTTTGACCACTTTGGTATTTCCACCTAGAATCAGGATACTCTTTTTCTCTAAGTGTCTGTAAGGATACAAATAAAAACTTAGGAGGAGGAGAAAACTCCAGCAATATTTCATTTTAAATCAAAGAAAAACAACCTTTTAAAGTTAATAAAAATGGTTGAATTAGACCAGTATGGCCCTTAAGTACAGTTATATGAATGGGTACACCAAGAAAGGCTGAATTCTGCATCCTACACATACCTTATGCAATGCTCACAGATCTAAACGATCAGTCCATATGTGTAACACTGTTGCTGCCTTTACCAGACATTGAAAAAACTATGTCACAGTAAAAAAACTATAGGTTTGTATAACATTCTCATCTTTCTGCTTAAAAACATGAAATGTTAAAAATGTAGACCAAAAGAGTATTATGATCTTTTCAAAGTAAGCTTGAATATGTCATCAATCTAATTATTGTAACTTTACACCGTAGTAACACTTCTTGGATACACATGTTGCTGCAGTTGCATGCAATCCAGAACTTGACAGGCCCGGTTATTACCAGTCTTGCTCAAGGCTGAGTGCTTTGTACAGGTAATGCAAGTGTTAACAGTTATGATACAAGGAGGAGGAGGAAACTGCATATACAGCTGGAGACTTCACTGATGTTTTTCTTGGCAACATCTGCCGCCGCCGAAATGGCCAACTGCTTTTTGAATTAAAAAGCACATTTTCATTGCAAAGTAAAGTGTCATGAGCTCACATGGCTACTGCATTGTGAATATACCTTATGCTGATGGATGTAGCTAATGTGGGGAGTTTGGTTTTGGGGGAGGGGTGAAGATGATCCCTTCCATGGTCATACCCCTAAATATTCTGAGGCACTGGCTGGAGGAGTATTCCACCAGCTCCTGTCTCAGTTGGGGTGGCGCTGCTTGTCCTATTTCTCTCCACATTGGGCAAGAGAAGCTAGCGATGGGCAAGGAAGAATGGTAATGTCAAATAGTGGCCTGCATCCCAATGCACATTTTGGGAAGGGTCTGCTGTCTGCACAGAGAAAAGCACAGTGCCAATTTAATAGTGCATTTTGTAGTAGCCAATTTATGTATTGTATTGCTAATTCTTGATGTCAAATGTTGGCATACCATATGTTGCCAGATTGTGTGGCCAACAGCAGAAAATTACTTCAACAACTTCAAACGCATTCTGGAGCCATTTAGTCCCTATCTGCACACAAATTGTCAGTATTCTCTAAAGGCAAAAAGGCTCATAGAAAACAAATGTCTAGCTTACATCTCCTCAGTGATTCATTTAGATTTCCATGCATCACTTCTTCACACTTTGGCAGAGTTTGGTTATTTGCCTCCAAAGTTGTGTTCTTCAAGTTTTCAAGAACGCGTACTTCTCGGAGACCACGTTTTTCCTATTGGAAAAATTAAAAAGAGGGGATTCTGAATATCCTACCAAGTTTTGTCTATTTGCTGACATAACAATGTTAGCCAATCCAACCTCCTTTAACCCCACAAAATAATAGATTGGGATCCTGTTCCCACTTACCATTAAATTAGTTTCATTGACCTCAATGGCACTGGGCTGACTTGCATAGGTTTGTACTATTAAACAGCACAGCATATCTAGATCTTGGTCTCTTAGACTGCAATCCTCTAGATGCTTTATTTATTGATGTAACTGGTATCCTACCTCTCTACCAAGGAAAATGGCACCCAAGGTGGCTTATAATTGTAAGCAAAACTTATATAATAGAGAAATGTATTAGAACACAACTGAAATGCAGACCCTCTAACAGAATAAAAATAGCATCCAATCCAGTAGATGCTTACACACTAAAGCCACACTTAACTAAAATGATATTTGCCTGCTAGCAGAAGAGCAACAAAGTGGGAACCCATTTAGAGTCCATTTTGGTAGAGAGCTTAGAGCATGGGAGAGGCTGAAAGGGCCCCCCTGTGTGTTGTCACCAGACGCATCTCTGAAGGTCAAAAGACTCAAAAGAAGAGTCACTCCTGAAAACTTTAAGAACCACATAGCCTTGTATAAGAAAAGACATTCTTACAGGTAGTAGTATAGGACTTCACTGGACAAAACCAGCAACGTAAATTCTATCCAGCAACAAACCAGTAGCCAGTGAAGCTGTTATAACAAGGAAGTCAATGTGCTCCCTGTAACTGGCCCTGGTCAACAGTTTGGCCATTTTGGATCAGCTGAATTTTCTGACCAGTTTTCTCAGGTAGCCCCATGTAGCATGTTTTACAATAGAGCAAACGAGATATAACTAGGGCATGGTAACTAGGTATGACCATGGTTGAATCAGACATCTCTAGAATTTAACAGTAAGCCCCACTAAATTCAGTGGGACTTAGTTCTGAGTAAATATGCATAGAATTGCACTGCTAATGCTTCAGGATGTTTTTAAGGACATCAGTGCCCCATTGATCATCACCATTCTCTGTTTAAAACATCCCATTTTCCAATGGTAAAGCTGAAATATTGTTTTTGATAGTGTCATCATCCAGTTATGAAAGAAAGTCAACATGAGAGATGGGGCACCACAGTCAGGTTCTACACAGTCTTCTTAAAGTTTTGCTGCCATCTTGTGGCAAATAGAGACAACATTATGCTTTTTTACACAATGATATCAATTTAACATTTAAAATTATAGCTGTGGTTAAGTTCTTGACTCTTTTTAAAATACATTTGGTTATCTCAGACAGATAAGAACTTAAAATATTAAAAAAATAATATGTGCTGAAAGGTGTGCAATCTCAATTGCTAGAAAGCAAATGTAAGGATTCTTAAATTATGATTCTCATGCAGCTGAAGATGTAGTTCCCAAATCTGAATATCTGGCATTTTCAGAAGGAAGACATAAAAGTGATGCAAACATCCCAAAGCTGTACATTTTAATGCAAACAAGTGCAATTGATTTTAATATATACTTATAATTTTAACCTACTTTTCTACTTATTTGTTAACCTGAAATGTTTCTACAAATAGTGAAAAAGCAGACATCCATAAAATATGACTTTAAATCTTTACGTCTGGCTGTCTCTAACATTGCTGGTGCATCCCTCTTCATTCTGTTGTGCAAGCAGGAGAATGACAAAGGCAGCAGTTCTAAAACCAACTTGAGAAACAAGCAGAAATGCCTACTACTAGGTTTAGACAGGTCAGTGGAGTTGCCTTCTGCAAGTCCATTGGCTCTCTCTTTTCTGGAAACTAGTGCTTTTTCTTGTTTTGGCTTTCTCCTAGAATCACTGGTTCCCCACTGGACTAGTGGGCTGGGTGTGGGGGACTTTCTTGATGGTGCATGAACAGGCTAGAACACTGCCCTGTATATGTTTAGCTCAGAGCTCACTTGTATGTTTCAATATGTAAACCTACTTCAAATTCTTTAATGAAGTAACGAATTTCTCCTTGAATAACTGGTCTGTGATCCAGAAGTCGAGAATATATTTCTCCAACATCTATAGGAAAAGTAATAAGGCATGTTAATGATACATGGAACAACTTCAAAATATATATTACTGGGGACCTGCAAGAAAACACGGTGAGCCATCACCTTTCCTATATACTTTTTCCTTTCCCTTTCCTACTTCTCCCCAATTTCCCCTTCAGAAGCCCACCTCTTCCTTTCTTTTCCACTTACTACTTCCTCACACTTTTCCAGCAGATTCAGGGAGGGAACTGTCTTCGAGATTGAAGAACTTGCACTGTTGCATTGTGGCTGAACCATTTTTCAGACTGTGTGTCTGTAAAGCAGCCTTTTAATTTAAGAAACCCCAGCTGTGTCTTCTTAAAGATGCTTTCCTCAAGGTGCTAGAAAGGAAGCCAAACATTCTTGTGGGCTTTTGACTACAAAAAGTGCTAGCATACAATTCTGCTGGATTACAGTTTCACTAGTAAAGCACTATTAGGCTTCCTAAAGCAAAAAGAGAGGTAGAATTAAATCTGTAAACAGAACATTATTTAATAAAAATTACTTTTTGATAAGTATTTTCCTGACTTGTATAATAAAACAGATAAATAAATAATGTTATTACTAATGAACAGATGGTTGTACTGAGTTACTATTTTATATTAGCTTCACTTGTATCTTACTGTAAACTACTTGGACGAAACAGGTGGGGTAGAACATTTTAAAAGCAGTAACTCATTTTACCATTATTCCTTTTATCAGTCAGCTCTTCTAATTTCTTTTCCATCTGTTACTCTTTACAAATCAACTCCAAGCTTTTAAATCTTACTGTTGAATCATATATTTCAAGGATTCTACAGTTTCTGCCAAGCAGGGCACTGGACTTCTAATCCAATTTCTGCTCTAACAGCAATCCTGCAAACCATACCCACCAGCAGTTCCTACTAACTTTTCTTGTTGGGCACCAGCCCTTGGTATGAAAAAGCTTCCCTATAATTTTAAAGTAGCCTAACACCATGTACAACTTTGTATCAGATCAGACTGTTAGGGATTGCAGAGGAACAAAAAGATGGGGAATCTAGTAATCTCTAAGAAGTTTCCAAATACATGATGCCCCAGTTGTATCAGAGGAAGCTTGGGTTGGCTTTTGCCTACAAACCCATAAAGAACAAAGTGTAAGCAAAATATTGTCCACATGTTCACTAAGTGCCTCCTTCTAGCTTCTATAATTCTGACTGTAAGCACAAAGAGTGACCTGGCATTTTAAAATCATTTATTTAAATGCAGTGCAATCCTCAAAGTGCCCACTCAGAAGTAAGTGCCATTGAATTCAGGGAGGCATACTCTAATGTACGCTAATAGGATTATACCCTCTGGGTGAAATCCTATGCATGTTCAGATAGAAGAGGTCCTACATTCTTTTATGATTTCCACCTTTCCCATGGATTTTATACATAATATCTCCCTCCCAGTATTTAGAGCTAACAGTTTTCTGGTACATTAGAAACTCACAAATTTATGCTGACACAAGTTTTTGTGTACACTGCCCACTTCACTGGATGCATAACTTCAAACATTTCATACATCTGACAAAGTGCACAATATTCAGAAAAATTATATATCTTTAATGTGCCAAAAGATACTTCACTGTTTTTGCTGCACAGATTAACACAGCTACTGCTCTGCATTTAAGGGGCCAGATGTTTTGGACTTCAATTTCCAGAAGCCCCTGTAAGCACAGCCAATAGTCAGGAACACTGGACCTCAACTGAACATCTAGAGATTTATTTTCTACCCAACCCATTTAGAAGATGCATAATCTTTTTTTCCATATTTTTTGTAAATTTGCATGCAGAACTATTTGCAAGTAAACCCATTAAACTGCAATTCAGTTCCATATACTTTAAGAGCCAGTGTAGTGTACTAGTTAAGAGTATGGGATTTGAAATCAGGACATCTGGGTTCTAGTCCCCACTAATCCATGGAGGTCACTTTGGGCCAGTCACAGTCAGCTTAATCGGCACCAGGCCAAGACCTTTTTATTTAAACGATATTTTAACTGTTAATTGTTATCTTTATTTATTGGTTTTATAATCTACTGAGATGTATCTGGATTTTAAGGTTTATTTTACATCTGTCTGTTGCTTTGTAAGCCATCCCGAGGCTTTTTGCGAAGGGGGTGGCATAAAAATGCTTTAAATAAATAAAATAAATAAATAATCTACATCACAGGCTGGGTGTTGTGAGCATGAAATTGGTAAGAGAAGAATTATGTAAGCAGCCTTGAGTTCCTTGAAAAGGAAAAAAAGGCGGAAAATAAATCTAATTAAATAAACCAATATAAGCACGTTTAGTATCTCGTAATCAGAAGTCTACAGTGACAGCTACAAACGACGCTCTCGCTACTGCCTGGCTTCATTTACAAGTAGAACAGTTAATGCCGTGCTACCGCTTAAGGCAGGACTCGTCCACCCTTGCCCCTGCGCGCGCTCACCGCTAGACCCTCACTGCGCGTGCGCAACCAGACCCGGAATCACGGTTTCCACGGCTGAGCTGAGCGGGTCAGAGGAAAGGGCCGTGAACGCCCGCTCTTCCTACCTTTGGCGATAGTTTGCGTCGGCGTCGACCCCAGCGAGTCCCGCTTCTTGCCTCCGACGCCCTCAGGAAGTGGTGACTCCCTAGCCTTGCTTGGACTCAGGGTTGTAGGGCCCCCGCTGCTCATCTCACCCCACACAACTTCCAACGACGGCCACGGTGGGGCGGACTTGGATTCACCGCTGCGAGAGCGCATGCGTACCTGCCATAGAGGATGGGGGCGGGGAAAGAGTCAGCGCGAGAACGGCGCATGTGCAGGAAGCGAGCTACCAATGGGAGCCTGGAGGAGGGATCCTTGGCCGGCTGGTGTAAAACACCTTGGAAACTTAGCTGTAAAGAGTGTGGTGATCTATAGACACTGAAAGAGACGGAAGATGCTTTATTTATGCATGTATTTATTACATTTATATCCCGCCTTTTTCCTCGTTTAAAGAACGCAAGGAGGCTTACATAATGCTCTTCCTGCAGTCAATCTTTCCCGCACAACAACCCTGTGAGGTAGGGTGGGCTGGGATGCTATCACCAGCCCAAAGTCACCCAGTTGGCCCCGTGGTTGTGCAGGGACTTGAACCCAGATCTCCGGAGTCCCACTACACTGCACTGGCTGTGTTGCTGCGTGAAGCTTCGAAACTGGCCAGTTGACCCTTATTCAAAACATGCAGTGCTGAAATGGATGACTTGTAACACGTCAGACGTTTGGCTTACACCTTCCAATGACCCCTCAACATTAACAAGAATCATTGTTGGAGGACTAAACATTGGAACAACCTGAAATTGTCCATCCATGGTTTAATGTGTGGTTTTGATGTATAAATCAATAGGCATAACTTTCATTGGTTAAATCGTGCAATCACTGACACATAGGAGAAAACCTTTCTTTTCTAGAAAACAGTACCGGTGCATCCTTGAAATGTAGCTGGCACTAACAAGGCACCAGACTAGAGAAAGCTAGTTGACACTTGATAATTAACAGCAGGTCAAACAAAGGGCAATTCAAACCAGCCCACCCCATCTTCCTCCTCTTCTATGCAATAGTACCCATTCTTTCCCCTTCTTTGGAGCATCTTCTTTCGTATGCAAGTGGGGAAGATCATGCCATTGTGACTTTTCACTTCTGTAACCTATTGGGCAGTCTTAACTGTGTTCCGTGTAACCCTTTAATGATTGATATATAAAAGAACCAACTGAGGACTGTCCAGGTGCGCCATATGGAATGATTGGTGGGTAGCTGGTCATTATCGAGAATAAATTCTTTAAAAGACAACATTCCCCTGTTGTGTGATTTGGGCATACACACACCAGGACAAGGACCATTTGGTCAACAGTTTGGATCCAGATTTAGTCATCCCAGAGTGCAGAATAAGGAATAATGAGCTCAAGCTACAGTAAGTCAGTTTCCTGCTAGATACTAGGAAAAGTTTCCTGACTTTGAGAGCAGTACTACAATGGAACCAATTACCTACAGGGGTTCTGGGCTCTCCCACACTATTTATTTGTTTATTATTTCCATTTGTACGTTGCCACAATGGCTCATCACTGAGCTCCCTGAGAGGCTTACAATGATTAAAATAACATAAAATCTAAAATCAATAATCCTAAAAACAATCCAAATCCATCAATAATCAAAACATAACTGATCAAATTAAGACCATTACATAAAAATTTCAATTAAATTATTTTAAATAAATAATATAAACTAAAATAAAACCATAAGTTAGGGAAAAGTAAAATCAAAATTCATTAAAAATCAACGGTTAGAGTAACCACAGAAGGGAAATATCTTGGCCTGTTAGCTGCGATGGAGCCAGGTGCACCTCTCTGAAAAGCCTATTACAGAGGCAGGGTGCAAACTACCAAAGAAGACACTTCTTTTAGCCGCCACCACCTCCTCACTTCCCCGGGTGATGGCTCTTTAAGGACCTCCTCACTTGATCTTTGTGGGCGTGCAGGAACATATGGAAGAAGGTGATCCTTCAGGTACCTAGGGCCCAAGCTGTTTAGTGCTTTATATGTCAGCACAAGCACTTAAATTGGGCCCAGACTTCCACTGGTATACAGTGTAGATGGTATATAAAACTGGTGTAATATGGGCTTGCAGTTGCATGGCCCTATTTTGAACCAGTTGGAGTGTTCAGACTGTCTTCAAAGACAGCCCCGTGTAGATAGAGCACATTGTAATAATCCAGCTGGGATGGTTCCAGGGCATGTGCAACTGGCTAAGCTCTGTCAAGATATGGCCGGAGTGGATAAATTAATTGTGGCTGAAAGAAGGTGCTCCTGGCCATCAAGTCCACTTGGACCGTAAGTGAGAGTTTTGGATCCAGGCGCACCCTCAAGCTGTAGACTCTGCCCTTAAGGGGGAGCATGGCCAGGTACCAGTTCAGGACTTCAGTTCAGGTGACCTGGATTTGATGTAAAATGGAGGTAAAGCTGAGTGTCATCAGCAGATTGCTGAGATCTCAGCCCAAACCTCCAGATGACCTCTCCCAGCAGTTTCATGTAGATGCTGAAGAGCTTAGGGGACGGTATAGAGCCCTGCGGAGCCCCATGGCAGAATTGCCATGGTGCAGAGCAAATGTCCCCCAGCACCACTGTCTGGACCCAGTCAGCCACATAGGAGCAGAACCACCACAAAGCAGTGCCCCCAACCCTGGATCTAGGTTCAGCTTTTTTAGGAGTTGTCTTATCACAGCCTCCTTTGAGAATGGTGGGACCACTCCCTCTCTTAATGAGGCATTGACAGCCTCCTGGACCCAGCCATGAACCCCATCCATAGCATTTCTGATTAACCATGAGAAGCAAAGATCAAGCAGACAAATGTCCACATCATTGGGCTACAATAACTGAAACTTACTCAACAAAACAGTATCAAAAGACTGCACACTGGAGACATCCCTTAAAGGATCTAGCTCAACTGCAGAGTCTAAATCAGGGGTCTCAAACTCGTGGGCCAATTGCTGGGACAGGGAGGGGCCCTGCGGCCTTCAAAGCCCCGGTGGCGCCCGGGCCGGCCTCCGGATGAGCAGCCCACCACCACCGCGGTGGTGGAATACTTGATGCGGCTCAGCCTCACCCAGACTCTACTTCCAGTGGCCCCCAGGTAAGTTGAGTTTGAGACCTCTGGTCCAAATCAAGATGGATCTGAGTGATTTTTGTTTGTTTATTTTTGGTCTCTATTTGGTAGTCACTGAAACAGTGCATTTGGGAGCCTGACCATATTTCTGTCACTTTTTGCTTTTACTTCTTACCTGGGCTTTGCAATTGTGAGTGTTTCTTCCATGGTCCATCTAGGCTTGTGGTTTTCTTTTTCCTTCAGGAATTGTCTTTCTGCATCCCTGGTTCCATTCCACAGCTCTTCTGGTTCATGGTTAGTTGAGTTCAGTAATGCAAATCTATTGTTTATGTAGACTTCAAAATCCTCAGGAATGTTATTTAAATTGTATTTTGGCACTAAGCTTCTGATCTTTGACTTTTGATATTTTAGTTCACGTTCACTGCAACAATCACTTCCTGGTCTTGTTTTGACAACAAGAATGCAGCTTCTCCATTTTCCACTCCCAATTACATTCTATTTGATTTTTTTATTGGCCATCTGGTGATGTGCTGTCATCTGTCTGGCAACCTGAATTATGTATTTTCAATAAACAGATGGTTGGCTTCACAGGCTTCTGTGAGTCATTCTCCTGCTCTATTTGTGACCCCCAGACCAAATTCTCCCACAGCTTTGGATTCTATTTTGTTTCCTACTTTTGTTCCAGTCACTTGTGATGGTCAGCCTGTCTTGTTTTGGTATATTATCCAGTTCATCTTGGACATTTGCATAAAAGTTTTTGATTTCATCTTCAACATGATTGGAGTATAGACATGAATGCAGGTTATTGACTTGCAAAGAATTCAGAATGATACTATTTGGGTGAACTTTGCTTTACTGCCTGTGCCATAACTTGCCTCAGTATTAAAGCCACTCTCTTTCTTCTGAGTTTTCATTTCCAGAGTAAAATACCTTGTGTCTGTCTGAGTGAAAGTGTCCCATTCCAGTCCACTTTAGTTTGCTCACATGAACTACTGTAACATTTCACTGTTTCATTTCTGGCTGTATAACAAACTATTGCATGCCATTAAACTGATGGAAGCTGAATTCTGACAAGTAGTGATTATGATTTTTGGCAAACAAACAAACAAATTAAAAAGGCATGCCACACTAGTCAATTTGGCATGGCAATACGAAACCAAAGTGGCCAGTATTAGGCATAGTGACTAGGCTTATGAATGCTGTGTCATATGTATATCACCAACCCATGACTGTCTTATCTTAGAGAAAAAAATTCAAGTGGTAGGTTGTGCTAAATAAGGAAACACTGGAAACAAGCCTATTGCATGTTTTTGGGTATACCCAAAATGTACTTAATGGTAATGCTCTATCATAGCTGAAATCAGTGGATATATCCATACCTTTTGAGCATCTCCCCCCAGCTGCCCCAAGGTTATTACAGAGTTTAGATATTTTTCCTCCTCTGCTTCAAATGCAGGGGGATATTTTTGCAGCACTAGATGTACTGAGAAATGCCCCTTGCTTAATTTTGTAAGCCACCCAGAGAACTTTTGTGGCAGCCTGTAAAGTGCATGTATAAGAAATGCTATATTTGTATTGGCTTTGAGGTGAGAAGAATACATTTTGCACTTTCATTGCTATAGAAATAGTTTCCCTAGAGACACAGGTGTGTGTGGGGGTGGGAGATGCAAATACAGCTGTTAGCTGCATTTTTAAGGGGCCAGGTCAAGGTAAGGGGATAATATTTTGACAGCAGCAAAAAATGGGTATGTATTGTGGTAAGGGAGAGCAGGAGGCAGATGGTATTTGCTACTTGCCCACAAGGAGTGGCAAGTTACATGCCTATTGGTCAGTGATCCATTTCCTGCATAGTGATAATTTCTCTGCAGGTAAACATGGATGTGCTATGGTAGTGGAATGATTATTTTGCAGATCAGGAAACTATGCCTCTCCAGTGTGGAACATACATGCTACATTTTATGCATGATAGTATAAATGTCTCTTGCTATGCAGAAATTGGTTCTAGACAGGAAAAACAACTCTTATGAATTAGAGGTTTGAATTGAATGAAGGCCTGTTCTGTAACAGATTTGTATTTGGTGCTTGTGTGCAAGCTTA